ATTGCTTTGCTTACGTTTAAGTCCCTTCCCCAGGGGCAGCCTGCAGCTAATGACTGGATGAGCTGAGAGTACAAAAGCTCAGCTACTTTGCCTCAATTTGAGGTATCCCTGGAAGGACATGCCAGCTAGAATGGTTCATGCAGGATGGACCTGACCCTGCCACCCTCATGTGCCTGACCCTGCCACCCTCATTCCTTTTCAGGATGTTGTTTCCAAGAGTACTTCCCAGTAAAGCCCCTTCACCATAATCTCCATCTCAAAGTCTGTTTCTGGAGATATAAGTAACAAAGAAGAGTATTTCCAATAAACAAGTCCCTCAGGTCATTACAAATCAGTATGAAGAAGAATGAAAAGTTAACTAGTGCAGTTCAAGCTACCTGGATTCTTAGGTGGGTGGGAGGCAGTCAAATTTATTGTATTTACTGGTGAGGGTCTCATTAGTTCTACTAGGTATTAGAAAAAATATAAACAATGTTTTGTGATTGATAAATAGGGACTCATTTCATTAGTATTCAAATATGAGTAGTACATGGACATTCATTAATGGAAGCCAATATGATATACTAGCTAATATTTAGTTAAATTTAATCACATTTTTGTGCATGTATGAGTTTAACAAACTATAAACGTTTCTTACCTCCCAAACCTCAGGACGTTGTGTAATTTTATGTATCCGAAAATTAGGAAGATTCTTTTGTAAATAGTCTGCCAGAAGTTCTGCTTTAGCATAATATGGACAATTTGCTTTACCTAAAAGAGTTCAAATTAGCAATGTTATCTTTCATCATACAGAAATTATGTAGGTCTAAGTATTTGTACCATGTAATTACATATAATTAATCATAGTTATGATATAATTTTATAATATAAGGTTATAGAATAAACTGCCATGATATAAGCTTATTTTTATTATATTGATAAAAATAAAATAAATTTCATAGATAGGAATCTCAAAAAATGTGGAAAGGAAAAAAAATGATTGAATATTTACTTTTCTTCCCGTGTTATGCTAGACCTCACTTCCTCTAAGAGGCTGCCAACCACTATTAATTAAGTATGAACTACTAAGAATGAACTACTCACTAATAGCCACTAAAAGGTAAAGTGTGGTGAGGAATGGTGGTAAAATCACTTTTTGATTTGATATGTGTTGCAGGGAGTTGTAGGCAGGGAGAGAAAAGAGTCTAGGATAATTTCTATTTTCTGGCTTGGGTAGATAGATGATCCTGACCTCATTAGAGAGAAATCATGGAAGAGAAGTTCAACTTCAGACAAGTGTAGTTGAAGGTGACTATAGTATATCTAAGTGGATATGACCAATGGGTAGCTGGATATATGTGTCTGAGAGGCAGGCACCATGAGAGGGTTTCAGACACACATTTTGCAACCATCAGCACCCAGGAAGTTAAAGCCAACACATTGGATAAGGTACAGTAGGAGAGACATGGGCCAAGGGCAGAGCCCTCTCTATAGCATGCTTCCTCAGTAACTCCGAGTCACCAGTTCCTTAACCTTATGGAAACTTTTAAGTCAACACCCCTTTTCAGCCTCCCCCTGTCTATAAGTGTCCCTGCCTAGCTCAAATCCATGGTTCATCACTTCAAACCACTCTCTGACTGACATATTAAATTATCTTGCCCCACTGTCCTTCTGGAAAATCAGACAGTAAAAGCCCCTCACCATGGATGGACCCAATTACCTGCTTTTTCTGTGCCTGGGTCCTACCTGGTAGGAAACCCATGTTTCTCCAAGCAGAGGAGCACCATTATAAATTTACAGTAACCAGCCTTAATTGCCCCTCAAATAGAGATCCCTCTGTTTCCTTTGTCAGCACTCTCTTCTGTTCTCCATAATAACTATTGCAAACTTTGTTCTCTTCCTCTAAATCTTCCCCATCCCCAACATTTCTCTGTACTATCAGGAGACAATAGATAACCTTGCTTTCTACCTTACAAAAGCTAAACCAAACCAAGCAACAAGTCATCAGTTGGGAAACCCTCAACCCCTTACCATCATGCCTACATGCCTATCTGCATTTTGACTCATCCTTTCATCATTCTCCTTTTCATTGGAGGAGAAGTCCTACCTTCTGTCTAGATCTAATCCCACCACTTATGCTCTGAATCCTATCCTCTTCTGTCTTCAAAGCAACCTTGCCACATGAATTATCCCCTTTCTAGAATCTTATCTCTGTTTCTAAAGGTCCCTTTCCATCATATTTAAATATACTCATAATATTTGTTTCTGCTGTCCTAAAAAACAAAAAGCACATGCCCCCTCTAGATATTACCTTTCACATGCCCTTTTCTGTAAAAACTTCTTGAAAGAGTTCTCTACATATGACACCTTCAGTTCTTTACTTCCATTTATTTCTCACCCACTGCAATCTAGCTTCTTCCATAATTCTTTAGAAGGTCACTAAGGATCTCCATGCCACTAAATCTAATGGATCCTTTTTGATCCTTTTCTTCTTGAACCTTGGCTGCATCTGCCACTGCTTTCCCCTTCCACTTTTTTTAAACACTATGATGGGGCATTTTCTAGATTTTTCTCCTACTTCTCTGGCCACTCCTTTCTATGCTTTGTAGTTTCCTATCCTTTATCAGCCCACTGAAATGTATCATTCTGAGAGGCATCTTCTCTTCATACTCTATATATGTATTCTTCCTGGCCAATCTCTTCTATGCCCTTGGTTTCAACTAGCAATCTGTATTTCCAGCTCAGATCTATCTGCTTGTCTAGATGCCCATACCCTTCCATCTCCTTCTACGTGTCTTATAAACAATCAGGTGGTCTATCATGGATGTTGTCACCACTCCCTTACCATATCTGTTCCCTCTTCTATGTTCTTTATGTCCACCTACCTGAATTATCTAAGAGTATTAAGAGTATTTAGAGTATTAAGCCCACTCTTCTGCTTAATTTTTTTTTAGTGCCTCCTAATCTACCCAGTTATCCAAACCACTGCTTGGGAATAATTTTTAACTATTTCTTCTCCCTTACCTGTCCTCCTCCATCCAACTAGACATCCAGTGCAACAGATTCTGCCTGCCTAATATCTCTCCAATCCACTCACTTCTCTCCATCTCTACTGTCTACCACACTAGGCCAGGCCACCAACTCCTTCCTGGACTATAGCACCAGTCTCCTAACTGGTTTCTTGGCCTTTCTCTCCCATACTATAGCCATATAACACTTAGAAGAAATGCAAATATTATGTTCTCCCCTTCTAAAAACCTTCCATTATTTTGGTTTAAGTCTAAACTACTGAATGTGACTCACAATAATCTACATTATCTACCTCTGGTCTGCCCTCATTTTATGACATTCTCTACCTTGTACTCTGCTCCAGTCCTATTAAACTTATTTCAGTTTTCTGTTTATTTTATATTCTCAATTTTACTAAACTAGTTCTTACTCTAACCCCACTCCCTGCTACCTGTGCTTAAATTGCTCCCCCTTTTTCTACTTCTTCTCTGTTAGGTAACTCTTTCTCATCTTTCAGGTATCTGCTTAAAGTCTCTTCCTCTGGGAAGCACTTACCAGACTAAGTCAGGTCCCCTGCCACTGTTCCCATAGAATCCTGCCCCACCATTGTCACATATGCTACATTTTCTGTACCTTTGTTTTCCAATGTCTTCCCAGCATCTAGTTAGTCAGTGCTCAAATATATTCTTCCGAATGAATAAACAAGCAAAGGAAATAGATTCTTAGGCAAATGGTAGATGCCAATTGTGTTCAATTGCATCAAAGAGGTCAAATATGACAAACACTGAAGAGCTTCTATAAAAGTCATTAGTGACTTTGGTGAGGGCAGTTTCTGTTACCCAGGCAGAAGTAGAGGTTAAATTGAGTGGATCAAAGAACTGGAGGTGGAAGAGCAGTCTATTCTCTTAAGAAACTTGCTGAGAAGGGGAGAAAGCAGGTGCACTAGACTGTTGCAATAAAAAGCCTCCTCTGTGGTCTCCTTGCTGCCAGTTAGTATTTACAATTCTTCCCCTCCATTGCTGCCAAGATGGGCTTCCTACAATGCAACTCCATTAAGACTACTCTCCTGCTTAAAATTTTTCAGTGACTCTTCACTGCTTTCAAAATACAGTTCAAACACTTTTGCTTGGGGCACATAAGGTTCAAGGATCTGCTCCTGTTCCTGTTCTAGCTCCAGGTCCCATCACTCCCCCTATGTCCAGATTTTCCATAAGGCCACGAGGCTTCTAGCTTGGGTACTTTTGTCTGGAATAGCCTCCCCAGCTCATACCTTCACAGCTCAGCTCCTGTAACACCTGTCCGCCCCCAGTGAGTTCCTTGTGTCCTCTCTCCCACCCCCAACACCCAGATTAGGGGTCTATTCTCCCAGAGGCCTGTGCATGTCTCCCTCATTACATTAATCACAGCCCATCAACAGTACTTGTTTACAGGCTTCCGTACCCCACGCAACTGAAAGCTCCTCGAAGGCAGGGATATGTCTCCCCATGTGTATCCCCAGTGTCCGGCAGTGTATGGCACACGGTCACTGTCCAATAAATATCTTTGAATGAATGCATAAGAAAGCATGGGGTGGTTTGTATAGAGGCTGGACTTGCTATTATAGAAAAGAAGCCAATTAAGAAGATCACTGCCAAGAGGCCATGGCTTGTTGCCATTTTGAACAATCTGCAGGCAGAAGCCCGGAGCACTCACCTGCGATCACGAATTTGGCCATTGTCAAAAAAGACCCAGCGGAGGGGACCGCGGCGTCGCGGTATCCCAGCAACGACACAGCCCAGGGCATGGCGCAGGCGCACTTCGAAGTCTGGCTCCCAGCCGGAGAGGTTAGGTGTTTATAAAATTAGGACCTGAATGGGTTACATTGAGGTACATGATCATACTTTGCCCTTATAGGCTCTGTGGTCTCCCCCATACCTATTTCTGTATTTTGGAAAAATAGCGATTCTCCTCGGTACGCTTTCTTCTTTCTGAGTAAATCTTTCTGCAACCACCACGAACATACTCTTTTTGACCACTGAAGGAATCCGTAAAATCTCGCGATATGCGGAACTCTCGGGGAAGCTGTCATGGCCGCGCCTATGTATAGCTGCTGGGTTCTGCTCTAAGGTGAGTGGAGGGCGAGTATAGGCGGAGCGATTAGCAGCATCACAGTATTATCCTGCTGGAAAAGGTCTCAGGGGTCGTCCGGCATTCAGTTTAGAGAGGCGGGTTAATGCTAGGCGGCTCAGCTGCGAAAGGACAGGCTCAAGAATCCAGACGCTGGTTCTAAGGTCTGGTGAGGTTGGCTGATGTGTCTTCCACCTAAATGCAGACCACGTGCAAACATCACTTTCGTTTTCCCCTTCTTTGCCTGAGCCATTCTACCTGTCCAATTCCCTATTCTTAATAGTTGAAGTTTGGGCCGTTGCTAAATCCTCAAGTTGAAAATCATCTGTCACTGTTAACCCCCTTATTTTCATTGAAGATAATCTCCATTTCAAACTAACAAAATTCCCTCCTGCAGAGGTAGGTTTATGAAACGCTTTTCCACCAGAAATTCACTTAAAAAAAATCCTTTATACAACGATTACTTCCAAAGTAGCCTGGCTTCTTTAAACCTGTATACATTGTGGTACACGTGGAGGAAGCCTATATTGGTAAAATAGTTTTACTGTTTAAAAATTTTTAAATGGCTTCATAGGTTCCTATTGTCTCCTCTGTAAAATGTATTTTATTTCATTAAGCAAAAGTTTTGCTTTAATTTTTATTCCTTTCATTATACCTTCCCCTACAGGAAAACGACAGCATGTATTCTTTTTCACTAGTGGAAATGACATTTGTTTTATATTGACGACTTTAAAGCTATTTGGAAGCGTTTCAGTGGCTGGCAAAATGAATAACAAAGCAAGTTCCTTTTTATGGAACCTCAGACAATTCAGTACTTTAATTCCAAGAGACAAAACTGTGGGATTTTGTGGACCAAAATTTGTTTATTCAAACTGGAACCCAAGAAACCATCCCGGAAATGACTTTGATAACAGAATTCAATCATCTAGGTCATCTAGTACGTATCTCTTCCAGGATGCATTCATTTTTAAATCAGGAAATGATGGATTTCCAACAAAGGGCAGAAGTACCCTAACAGTTCTTACAGTTGACAGACTACTTTGCCCTAGAAGGCTGTCCTTTGACTCAAAACATTCTGTTGTCTTTGTTGGTACACTCAATAATGGATTGAGGAAAGTAAACTTTCACCAGGAAGTCTCCGATGAAGATGTTCTCACCAAAGAAATAAAGCCAACCCCTATCAGCTATCAAAAATTATCTAAGGAGTGTAATTCCCTCAGTGATGTGTTAGATACATTTTCAAAAGCACCTGCTTTTCCTAGTAGTAACTATTTCACAGCAATGTGGACAATTGCCAAAAGGATGTCTGAAGAACAGAAGCGCTGTGAAAAACAACTGATGTTTAGCCACCCTGCATTTAACCAGCTCTGTGAACATATGATGAGAGAAGCCAAGATCATGCGCTATAACCATTTGCTGTTCAGTCTTCATGCTATGGTGAAGCTTGGAATCCCTCAGAACACTCTTCTGGTACAGACTTTGCTGAGGGTGGCCCAGGTAAAATCAAAAGGAGATTTAAACATGTTTTTACTTGGCATAGAATATCTTGAAAGAATGAAGAGAAATAGATATGTAGCCTCCTTAAAGGAGACTATCTAATTAAATGGTGCATATATTGTATGATTTAGAGACTTAAATTAATTAGCTAGGTCTTTTCTTCCTTTTGCTATGGAATTTATGAAAGCTTGCCCTGTTTACGTTTTCCAGGGTTTAGTACTAATGGAGAAGCTAAAATGAGGAGAGATGCAAGATATACAAAGAAATATTGGGTAGTTGAAGGAAGGTGAGAAGTGGGGAGAGAAGGGAACTTAGTCCATGGTAGAGTTGGAATTCATGCCCAGTAGGTAATGATGCCTGAGCTGGTGGGAAGATTGATAGTGAAAGTGATGGTATTTCAAGCAGAGACGATTGCATGCCCTAACATCCTGGATGAAAACTTTGGCAAGTTTGGGGAGCTGAAAGTAGTTTGGTGTGGCTGAAGCACAGAATGATAGGGTTGTGTGTTTGAGGGGGTGGGGAGGAAGTCGTGCATGTGGCGGTCAAAGGGAAGAGAAGAGGGGCAAGGGGCTTACTTAGTGACAGGACATGGGGCTTACTTAGTGACAGGACATGAGGCTGGAAAAATAGGAGCTGAATCATAAAGAGCCTTTGATGTCTGGCTAAGGAGTTTGTATTTATCCTGTAGGCAATGGGAATCCAATGAAAAATTTTAAGTAGTGGGTCGACATACTTAAATTTGCATTTTAGATCACTGAATGAGTGGAAAATGGATTGAAAGAAGGACGAAATTTGATGGAGGGAGCCATTTTTAGTTTAAAACAGGAATGTTGGTGTCTTGCATGATGTCATTGAAATGGTGCCAGAGATGATGAAGAAAAGATTAGCTTGTTAATCAATTATATATATATATTTTTTGCTTTTTTTAAATTTTAGCGTATTATGGGGGTACAAGTGTTAAGGTTACATATATTGCCCATGACCCGCCTCCCCCTCGAGTAAGAGCTTCAAGCGTGTTCATCCCCCAAACGTTGCACATCTTACTCATTGTGTTTGTATATACATCCCCTCCTCCCCCCTCCCACCCTCCCTACACCTGATAAATGTCACTCCTGTGTGTCCACTTAGGTGTTGATCCGTTGATACCAATTTGCTGGTGAGTACATGTGGTGCTTGTTTTTCCATTCTTGAGATACTTCACTTAGTAGAATGGGTTCCAGCTGTATCCAGGAATATACAAGAGGTGCTATATTACCATTGTTTCTTAAAGCTCAGTAGTACTTCATGGTATACATATACCACATTTTATTAATCCACTCATGAATTGATGGGCACTTGGGTTGTTTCCACAGCTTTGCAATTGTGAATTGTGTTGCTATAAACATTTGAGTGCATGTGCCTTTTTCATAAAGTGACTTTTGATCTTTTGGATAGATGCCCAATAATGGGATTGCTGGATCAAATGGTAGATCTACTTGTATCACTTTGAGGTATCTCCATACTGCTTTCCACAGAGGTTGAACTAGTTTGCAGTCCCACCAGCAGTGTAGGATATCTTTCTTTCTCTTGCATCCACCGCCAGCATTTGTTGTTTGGGACTTTTGATAAAGCGCATTCTCACTGGAGTTAAGTGATAGTCCTCCATTGTGGTTTGATTTGCATTTCCCTGATGATTAGAGATGTTGAACATTCTTTCATGTTTGTTGGCCATTATTCTGTCGTCTTTTGAGAAGTTTCTGTTCATGTCCTTTGCCCATTTTTGATAGGGTTTGTTTGATTTTTTCTTGCTGATTATCCTGAGTTCATAAATAGATTCTAGTATATCAGCCATTTATCAGATGTGTAGCTTTGCAAAAATTTTCTCCCCATTTCTGTGGGTTGTCTGTTTGCTCTCATTGACAGTTTCTTTGGCTTGTGCAGAGCTTTTTAATTTGATCCAGTTCCATTTGTTTATTTTTGTTGCTGCTGTGGTTCCTTTGGGGTCGTCTTCATAAATTCTTTTGCCTAGGCCAATGTCTAGAAGGGTATTTCCAACATTTTCCTCTAGAATTCTAATAGTTTCACACCTAAGGTTCAAGTCTGTTACCCAGCGTGAATTGATTTTTGTGAGAGGTGAAAGGTGTGGGTCTTGTTTCAGTCTTCTACATGTGGCTATCTAGTTTTCCCAGCACCATTTATTGAATAAGGATTCTTTTCCCATGTATGTTTTTGTCTGCTTTGTTGAGATTAGTTGCTGTTATGAGGATGGTTTTATATCTGGGTTCCTGTCTGTACCACTGGTCAATGTCCTGTTCTTGTGCCAGTCCTAAGCTGTTTTAATTACTATAGCCTTCTAGTATCAGTTGAAGTCTGGTAAATTGATACCTCCTATTTTGTTTTTATTGCCTAGGATTGATTTTGCTATACGGGGTCTTCTCTGGTTCCATACGAAGTGTAAAATTATTTTTTCTGTATTTTTGAAAAATGATGATGATATTTTGGTAGAGATTTCATTGACTCTGTAGGTCACTTTGGGTAGTATAGACATTTTAACAATGTTGATTCTGCTGACCCATGAGCATGGTATATTTCCACCTGTTTACATCCTCTGCTATTTCTTTCTTCAGTGTTTCATAGTTCTCCCTGTAGAGGTCTTTTACCTCCTTAGTTAAATATATTCCTAGGTACTTTATTTTCTTTGTTGCTATTTTGAAGGGAATTGAGTCTTTGATTTAGTTCTCACTTTTACTGTTGTTGGTGTATTTGAATGCCTCTGATTTCTGTGTATTGATTTTGTATCCTGAGACTTTACCAAATTCATTTATCAATTCAAGGATTCTCTTCATTGATGCTTGGGGTTTTCTAGGTATAATATCATGTCATCAGCAAAGAGTGAGAGTTTGATCTCTTCTGGTCCCATTTGGACACCCTTAAATTCCACTCTCTTGTCTGATTGCTGTACTGAGGACTTCCAGCACTATGTTGAACAGAAGTGGAGATAGTGGGCAACCTTGTCATCTTCCAGTTCTAAGTGGGAATGCTTTCAAATTTTCCCCATTCAGTATGATATTGGCTGTGGGTTTGTCATATATGGCTTGTATCATTTTTAGGTAAGCCCTGTCTATGCCTATTTTGTTGAGCATTCTTATCATAAAAGGGCATTGAATTTTGTCAAATGCTTTTTCTGCGCCTATTGAGAAGATCATATGGTCTTTGTTTTTGCTTCTGTTTGTATGGTGAATTACATTTATAGATTTGCGTATGTTGAACCATCCCTGCATCCCTGGGATGAAGCCCACTTGGTTGTGATGAATTATTTTCTTGCAAGTACCTGGATTCAATTGGCTAGGATTTTGTTGAGAATTTTTGCATCTATATTCATAAGGGATATTGGTCTGTAGTTTTCTTTTTTTGTTGCATCCTTTCCTGGTTTTGGTATCAGGGTTATGTTTGCTTCATAAAATGTGTTGGGGAGGATTCCATCCTTCTCGATGTTGTGGAATAATTTTGCAGTACTCAATGATCATAATTAATAATTTTTTAAAAGATAGGAATTTCTTGGGGATAATCTCACATATAACCCATCTTCCTTTAGAATTCAAGAATTGGGTTCATAAGTATATGAGAGTTTTCAACTTTCATTTTTTTATATTACTGAGATTTCTGTATGTCCTCAACCAAGACATAATTTTTATTTTGTGTGTGTATGTGTTTGTTTAAATCACAAAATATCCATGTTTATTTAGTAAACTATGTTTTAGTTCTCTATGTAATTAGTTAAAAGGGATTAGAATAAGTCACCTTACCTGGTCAGAGATGCTCTTATTAGATTTTGGACAGATATTCACATCAGCATAGCATCTGCATTGGTGAGGTATGAGCAGTGGATTTTTGGAGTCAGAACATCTGTGTGTATCTGTGTGTATCAGAACATTGTATCATTGTGTCTCACTGACCTATTGGAATGTTATAAAGACATTTTAGCTAGAGATGAAAGGACAATGTACCATCAGTGAATTTGCCCTTCAAACGTAGCCAAGTGGCCTTTCCTTTCACAACAGATATTGATGGAATGCTATAAATTGTTAAGAAAACCCTCCTATTAGAATGAAACCTTTTTTTTTCCCAGCCTTATCTCCCATCCAAGTACTAACCAGGCCTGACCTTGCTTAGCTTTCTAGATCAGACGAGATCGGGCTGGTTCAGGGTGATATGGCCGTAGACTTCCATCCTTATCTGTTTATTATCAGTATCTAGTTTTGACTTGAGACTTTGTGATTGGGTTAGTCATGTAAGTTTAGCAAAAGAGCATATAACTTTTAGCCTTAAGTTTCCTCAGATGTGAGGAACTACTCTTTTGAGATATATAGACTGTGATTAAATTGAAAGAAGGTAAGCTGTGTTATTACTATTTACTTTCCAAATAATGCTCACTGTTGTTTCTGGAATCTAAATTAGTACCCTAACTAAAGGGACCTGAAGGAAGTATCTGTGAAGCCTGAGGTCCCCTTGAGACCCAAATAGTCGTGATGAAATGTGGCAGGAGACATGACTTGGAGGATTCATAACTGAAGTTTCAGCTTGATTGACACATGGGAAAGGATATAGGAGAATTGTAAGAGCACAGCCATCTAAGGATCCTTAGGAATGGTTAAATTGCCTATGTACCTCAGTAGCTTTTATATTACTGTACTTGAAACTGTTTTTGCTTTCATGATGACCTTGGGTTCTCAGAAGAGGTAAAAATAATATTTGATAAAAGTTGTTTCAGAAGCAGGGAAATAAAATCAATACCAAGTAGATTTTCAGTGATAATGGTGAAGGCAAAAATGTGTTGATACATAAAAGGATGTATGCCAGTTATTTTGAAAATTCACTTAAGTATACCATCTTATTTCCCAAAGATGCTGTTCATTATGGACTGACTGTAGGAATTATTGGTTTAATACTTAATCCTTTTATTGAAAGCATCAGGTTGGTGATTTTACTTGGGTGACATAGTCTACTATGGGCTCATCACCTGTAGTGTTTTTGTCTTTATATTTCAATAGGAACGTATCAATGAGTGTGATGAGAAATGTCTTTCAATTCTGTCAGCTATTATAGAGGCAATGGAGCCATGTAAGAATGTGCAGGTTCTTCAAGCAGGATTGAGGTGAGAACTCTCTTATTCTTTCTTCATATGGTTTTTTTTGTTCCTCTTATACCTGGAATAAAACAAATGAGATGGAAACTGAATGACTTTTTTTTTTTTTTTTGAAGTGGGGTTGGGGAGGCTGTGTTGATGGTTATAGTTTTTAATACCATATTAAGCTTAAAATCCTGATTCTGGATGAGATAAAGCTGGAAATAATACTACATTTGGGGTCCACTATGAAAAACCTGAGTAAAATTGAAAACAAAATTAATTTATCTTAAAACATAGTACTGATGTGGGCTGAGGGAGAATTGATTTGTATATTTAATTCAAAATAGTGATTTGAGCACTATGTGGGGGCTATATGACACTGGCCCAGCTTGAAAAGGAATTTATAAAATTGATGCAACTGATCTAATATCATAGATCAGTGAGAATAATACTTAATTCCCTTTTTCATTGACTATGCATAGGTTTTTTTCCTGCAATCTCCTGATGTGAATTGTTCATTAATAAAGACAGCGCTGTAATGTGAGAGGAAATAGTACTAGACTGGGGCTAGATCTTTCACAAACTGCTTACACTGTCTTGAGCAGGTAGATTATTTCTTTGAGATTCATATTCTTCGTCTATAGTAGGAACTGGACCAAATGAAATTTTTTTTTTAAGGTTTCTCTTCTGATTTGAAGACTCTAGGATTGTAATATTTATTGTGCTTGATTACAGAATATTAGTTGATCAGCAAGTCTGGAAAATAAAACGTGTCTTCACTTTACAAGCTGTGATGAAATGTATTGGAAAAGATGCGCCATTCAGTCTTAAAAGGAAACTGGAGGTAAATGCCTGAATTTTCTCTAGTGAATGATATTTGAAAAAATTATTTTCTCTAGTGAATGATATTTGAAAAAATTATTTCTTATAACCCACTGTCACTTCCTGAAGTTAATTTTCTAGGAGGACATTGCTGTACCTTTGGGTTTAGCTTTGCTAAAGTGAGTTAACAGAAGTAGACATATTTAGTTATATGTAAATATATATATTTACCTATTTTTCTCAAACTTTATCCTTTTTACTTAAAACTAAAAGTTTTTTTTTTTTTGCCACAAATAGTAAATTTAAGTTTGTTTTTCTTTAGATCAAAGCCTTAAGTGAATTAGACAGATTTTCTGTTTTGAATAGCCAGCGCATGTTTGAGGCACTAGCTGCCATGAATCATCGTTCTATGGTACTGTTGAATGAATGCAGTAAGATAGTCACAGGTAAGAATTTTTCTTTCATGATTTGCAGGATCAGACATACTGTTTTGAACTATACTTCTTTTGTTTGTTTTAAAAACCTTATGTGTGAAAAATAAGTATCAGGCATTTTGAATCTTACATTTAAAAGCATCTGGTAATTTTTGTTTATTTATTTAACTCATTCTTAAAGATAATGTCCATGGATTGCCTTTTAAAATATTGATCAACATATTGCAGTCCTGCAAAGACCTCCGATACCAAAATTTAGATCTCTTCAAGGGAACAGCAGACTATGTGGCTGCAACTTATGACATTTGGAAATTGAAACAAGTGAGTATATTAGAATAAGCCTCAGAAACTTTCAAAAAGCATATTATAATTAATTAATGTAGCATTTAAAATTTTTCTCTTTCACCTTTATAGCAGTTAAGATACCAAGATATCCCCACGCTAAATTGATTTTTGAAAAATTAGCTCCTGAATATTTCTGTCTGGGGGTTACTTGTTAATATAGATAGTTCCCAGTTTAGAATGGTTTAACTTACAAGGTATTGACTTTATGGTGGTGTGAAAGATATACAGATTCTGGAGAAACCACACTTTCAATTTTGAATTTTGATCTTTTTCCAGGTTAGGAATATGTGATAAGATGCTCTCTTGTGATGCTGGGTGGTAGCAGTGAGCTGCAGCTGTCAGTCAGCCACATGATCATGAGGGTAAACAGTTGATACTATGCAGTGTACTGTATTCAATAAATTACATGAGATATTCAACACTTTATTATAATATAGGCTTTGTGTTAGATGATATTGCCCAACTATAAGATCATGTGAATGTTCTGATCACATTTAAGGTAGGCTAGGCTAAACTATGATGTTTGGTATGTTAGGTGTATTAAATGCATTTTTGATTAACTTATATTTTTAATTTATGATGGGTTTATCAGGACGTAACCCCATTGTAAGTTGAGGATCATCTGTATACTGTTCAATGTTTTGATCATCTTTCTATCTGAAACAAAAATTATATTGTCCAAAGTTTGCTCTATTATTTGGTTTTCAAAAGGTTATATGATGCTTTGGTTAGATATTTAGCTTTATTTCTGTGTTTATACTTTTTTCTTATTAGATTTAGAATAAGAAAAATGGACGATGTGGCAGGTTTATGGTTTTTTTTCCTTAGGTTTATAGTTTGTGAGGAATAAAATGTCATTATTTAATGATCATGTCCTTTATTTCTTTTTGAGTAAAAGCCTTTAAATTCAGGGGCTCTGTTAATAAAATCTAAATGAAGCAACTAGTTGAAACTACTTTTGCAATGAAGGAGGTGGTAACTGTGTTACATCACTAGATTCAGTTTACTTTGGAGAGTAAGATGAATATTTGGTTTACTATGGGAATTGATTATGGAATGCAAAATAATAACCATAAGTGAGAAAGACTGAGAAGGAATTGGAGGTGAACTGGAAAATTTATTTTAATCGTGATATTTCAGCTCCATTCTCACTTATAGGAATTAATATTAAATATAGAAATTTTGAGTTATCTTTTACATGTTAGAAACTAGGAAGTATTTTGGTTTGGGTGTGGGAGGAGTTCAAGATTGAGTTGGACATTTTGAGGAACTTCAGAAAAGGTATGTTTAAAAGTAATTTTCAGATCTGTTATATGAAAAGCATATAAGAAAGGATTTATTTTTAAATGCAATGGAAATATGGAAATCATTTTATGCCGTGGTTCTCAGCTTATGAAAAGAGATTGCTTGTTAACTTGACACCGAATTTAAGGATTAATAGAATAGATTTTGTAAGGGAAAGATAATTGTTCCTTTTTAGGGTATATTCTGTTGATGAGGACAATGGCATGGCTGTTTAAGTTTTTTGAAATCTAAAAAACTACTATTAGCATCCTATAATTATTAATGAGTTTTTCCCTCAATTCTTTCTCTTTTTAAGGTTATTTTTCTCCTCATTTCATTTGAAAACCTTGGCTTTCGACCTATTGGTTTGATGGACATGTTAATGAAAAAAGTAGTAGAGGAACCTGAATCCCTAAACATGAAAAACATTGTCTCTATTCTTCATGTGTATTCTGCTCTCAATCATGTCTACAAATGTGAGAACAAAGAGTATGTACTTGTTCTTTTTTACTTTTTCATTTCCACATAACATGTTTGTAGAAAAGATTACAAATCATAAGCTTAATGAATTATCACAAGTGAACACATCCATAGCCATCATCCATGTCAATAAAGAAAACACAGTGTTCCTTACTCATTTATAAAGTTAAACAGAATTTCATTTTATATTTCCTGTTTTTTGTCTTGCTTGTTTCTTTGATCTTTGTAATCTATTAGTTACTTCATTTTAGGAGTTTTTATTTCAAACTCTCCCAGTTATCCCAGCCCCCTCCTAAGTTATAGTTTAGTTTTCTTTAACTTTATTGAAAAATTGAGAAATGTATCTTTGAAAAATTTTCTTGTTTTTGTATTGTGGTAAGAATACTTACTACATTTTTAAGTATGCAGTATAATCTTTTAAACTATGCCTATATTTTAACTATCTTACTTATATTTTAGGTATTTTACAAAGCCTAGTACAATCTCTGGAATCTCTTCCGTAACTGAAACTTTATACCTGTTCAGCAGCAACTCCCTATTCCCCATCCTCTAACCCCTAACAACCAACATTATGCTCTTCGTTTATATGACTTTGACTTATTTAGATACCTCATATAAGTGGAGTGATGTAATATTTGTTCTTTTGTGACTAGCTTATTTTACTTAGCATAATGCCCTCAAAGTTCATCCATGTTGTAGCAGATGGCAGGATTTCCTTCTAAAGGCTAAGTAATAGTCCATTCTATGTATATCCCACATTTTCTTTATTCATCTGTTGATGGACATTTAGGTTGTTTCCATATCTTGGCTGTTGTGAATAGTGCTGCAGTGAACATCGGAGTGCAGATAACTCTTTAAGATCCTGATTTCAGTTCATATGAATTGAAATATACTCAGAAGTGGGATTGCTGGATCATATGATAGGTCTACTTTTAAATTTTTTGAGGAACGCTCATAATATTTTCCATACACTATTTTGTACTCCCACCAACAGTGTGCAAGGGTTTCAGTTTCTCCACATCCTCTCCAACACTTGTTATCTTTCGGGTTTTTTTTTTAATAAAAACCATCCTAACAGGTGTGTAGTGATACCTGATTGTTATTTTAATTTCCATTTCCCTGATAATTAGTGATGTTGAGCATATTTTCATATACTTGTTGCTTATTTATATGTCTTTGGAGATATGTCTATTTAAGTCCTTTGCCCATTTTTTAATCACATGATTTATTTTTTTGCTATTGAGTTCTAGGAGTTCCTTATATATTTTTCTACATATAGTATATAAAGATTTTTCTCCTATTTTATAGGTTGCTTTTTTACTTTGTTGATTGTTGACTTTGCTGTGCAGAAGCTTTTTAGTTTTATGTAGTTCCCTTTGTCTAATTTTGCTTTTGTTGCTTATAATTTTGGTATCATCTCCAATGTCATAAGGCTTTTCACATATGTTTTCTTCTAGAAGTTTAACAGTTTCAGGGCTGACATTTAAATTTTTAATCCACTTTGAGTTGATTTTTGTGTATAGTGTAAGATAAGGTTCCAATTTCATTCTTTTGCATGTGGATATCCAGTTTTCCCAACACCCTTTTTGAAGAGAACATTCCTTCTGCATTGTGTATTTATTGTAGCTTTGTAAAATATTTTGAAATCAAGAAGTGTGATACCTCCAGCTTTGCTCTTCTTTCTCAAGATTGCTTTGGAAATTCAGGATCTTTTGTGGTTCCATACAAATTTTAATACATATTTTTTCTATTTCTGTAAAAAATACTATTGATATTTTGATAGGGATTACACTGAATCTGTAGATCACTTTGGGTGATATGGACATTTTAACAATATTAAGTCTTCCAGTCCATGAACACGGGAAGTTTTTCCATTTATTAGTGTCTCATCAATTATTTTAATCACCTTTTTTAGTTTTCAATTATAAGTCTTACCTCCTTGATTAAGTTTATTCCTAAATATTTTATACTTTTTGTTTCTATTGTAAACAAGATTGTTTTCCCAGATTTTTTGGGGGGGGATAGTTTGTTGTAAGTATATAGGAATACAACAGATAATTTTACTTCTTCCTTTCTGATTTGGATACCTTTTCTTACTTTTTCTATTTTATTTTATTGCCTAATTGCTCTGCCTAGAATTTCCAATATTATGTTGAATAGAAGTGGTGAAAGCAGGTATCCTTGTCTTATTCCATGGTGAGAATAGGCATCCTATCCTTGTAAGAGCTTTCTGCTCCTTTTTTTTTTCTCCTGAGACACACCTAATGTATACATTGGTTTGCTTGATGGTGTCCCTTACTCTTTCTTAACTTTTTCTTCCTTTTTTTTTTTTATTGGATAATTTCACATGACTTGCTTCTAGTTCACTGATTCTTTCTTCTGCTTAATCAAGTATGCTATTGTAGCCCTTTGGTGAATTTTTTAGTTCAGTTATTGTATTCTTCAGCTCCAGAATTTCTGTTTGGTTCTTTTTTATAGTTTCTTATCTCTTTATGAATTTCTGTTTGGTTCTTTTTTATAGTTTCTTATCTCTTTATTAATATTCTCATTTTATTCATGTATCATTTTCCTGATTTAATTTACTTGTCTGTGTTCTTATAAGATGATTTTTAAAATTCTTTGTTGAGCAATTCTTAGATCTTCATCTTTTTAAAGCTGGTTACTAAAGATTTATTTTGATCGTTTCATTGTGTCACATTTCCTTGATTCTTTTTGCTCCTTACAGCTTTGTGTTGGTGTCTACACATTTGAAGAAACAGTCTTCTCTCCTTTTCTTTACAGACTGGTTTTGGCAGGGAAAGACCTTAACCAATCAACCCAGATTCTGGGAGGCCCTCAGACCTTTTCTATGGATGTGTGTGTATATTTCTAAGTAGAGGGATTTGTTAGTTTCTTTTTTTTCAGGAGCCTGAAATCTCTTGCTCCCTCTGGTGTTTAACTGCTGTACTGCAGGCTGGGACTTAGGCATCCTCCACCCCTCTCCTTCCTTCCCTGTAGAGAAACCTCTGCTCTTCCAGTCTTGCAGAGCTGTGCTTCTTGCTGCAACCCACTGACCCCTTTTTCTTTTTTTTAACTGCTCCCGGGCATCTGAGCTATTCTGATTCCATCAGCTCTCCTGGTGAGTTGAGACAGAAACTGTCCCCTTTGATAGTGCACCAAAAGGCCGCGATATTGAAGATACACTCCACTCCTCCCCCTCTCTCCTGAGGGGGAAGCCTCAGGTTCTGTACCTTCTCTCAATCTTCCAGCACTGATTGGGTGCAGGAAGCTGCTCACCTCCTTTCCTTTGTTTTTAACTGCCAGGCATCTGATCTATGCTAGTTCTGTTAGTACTCCACATGAGGCAAGAGAGAAACCAGCCCCATGGGCAGCACACTGAAAGGCTGAGAGGTTGGATGCACACTCTTCTGTCTCCCTCCAAGGGAGAAGTCCCAGGCTAAGGCAGTCCCTCTTGGTGCTGAGCTGAGGGGCTGACATGGGCAAAGTGAAATTGTTCTTCTTACCAGTGTCAATGTGGCTGTTCTTGGTTTTGTGCTCATCTGGAGTACTACAATCTCATAACTGGATTCTAGATTTCTCATAAAGGTATTTTGGTCTGTTTATCCTTGTTACATCAGTGTTTCTGTGGGGCAACAAGAGCTGGACTTTGCTATTCGACCATGTTGCTGATATTACTCCCCTCCATAGTTCAATTTTGACACTAACAATTCATTTGATCACAAACTACTGCTTTCTATTCTTTTTATTTTAACCACAACCATATATTTCTACTGTTAAATACAGTAATTCTTCAGCCATGTCAGGGTCTTTCACACCTCTGCTGTCTACCCAGAACATCTTTTTTTACTTTCTGGATCAGTTAGGGTTTATTAAAAACTAGAAACACATATTAAAGGCCTTTTGTTAGAAGAACAGTTAAAAACACAGACTGTCATACTTAGGTTTGCATTTCAGCCCTGCCATTCATTAGCTGCTTGACTTTTGGAAAATGACTTATCTGTGCCTGAGTTTATTCATCTGTTAAAATGGGGATGAGTTATTTCTAATTGCATTGCGTTGTCATAAAGATTAAATGAGTTAACCTATGTCAAGTTTTTAACACAATGCCTGGCATACAGTGATTGTTAGATTAAAAAAAGTTAGAGTATAGGTCACAGAGGTCTTGGAGGAACAAACTAGGGCAGTGCTCAGGGTCTTAGTGGCAAGAGTCACAGGCTGTCTCTTTACCACCAAATGACTTTTCTCTTCCTGCTTTCTGTTCCTGTAGTTTTTATATTTCCAAAAGAGAAAATCTGATTGGCTAGGTTTGGGTCAAATGCCCCTCCCTTAGGGCCAGTTTATCGATGAAGTGGTGCTGGGCTGCCTCCTGTATTTTCCATTGACAGACATACTCAGCTCTTACTGCATTTCTGGGGCCTTCCCTGATTGTCTCCATCAGATCCCCTGTGCCTGTCATGCCTTACCCAGATTCTGGTAGGGCCTTGACCACATATTTGTAGTTATTTGTCAATAAGTCTGTCTCTGCTCCTCAGTTGACAAGCTCTCTAGAGTCAGACCCAGGTTCTTGTTATCCTGAACTTTTAGCACAGGGCCTGGCAAAGAATCAGCATTTAGTAAAGATTGAAAATTATCCCCCACATTCAAGTTCCTTTACCCCCTGGCTTGGGTTTTCTATGACTCTGGCTCCCATTGACCTTCTGTACTTTCTAGACAACTAGTGTCAAGCTAAGTGGTAATTAAAACTCCAGAAATAGCTCCATGGATTCATGGGATTAAGAGAACATACACTGGTTGGGTAGGATGTTTTTTAGCTGCCTTTAGGCAGCCGAAGAGATAACTTGGTCCAATAAAATGGTTATGTTAGAAATAGAAGGGGGATAACAAAGGTAACAAAGGTTGGGAAATTGAATAACAGCAGTACTAGAATTTGAACAGGAAGGGAATCACAAAAGTTGTCCTTTTGTCTATTTTGCTTTCATCTAACCCAGTAGTTCTCAACTAGGGGTGATTTTGCTTCCCGGGGGACATTTAGCAATATCTGGATACATTTTTAGTTGTCAAAACTGGAGAGGAGGTATGTGCTTCTGGTCTCTAGTAAGTAGAGGCCACGTATGCTGCCAACATTCTGCTGTACCCAGTTTGGCCCCTCACAACAAAGAATTACCCAGCCCCAAATGCCAGTAGTGCTGAGACTGAGAAACTCTGATCAGACCCCTAGCCTCCCACCTCAACATTTCTCCAAAGGGAAAATAGGGGCCATGTGGCTGATATATCAAGATTAATTAGCCACAATTTCCTGAAAACCCATGAATGGTGCAGTTGCCTGAATTTGATACTCTGAGGACTATAAAAAAAGAAGTTTGTGTTTCATATTCTTCCTAGAGCAGTTAAGAACACAAGTCTTGTACATCCATAGGAAGGCAGTAAATGGTGGACCCTAAATGAGTGCTTTCCAGAGGAAGGAGAAAGGAAGATGGTGTCTTGGGCTAGAGTGGTAAAGGTTTTGGAAGCAGAGTGACTCATAGCATTTGGAAAGAGAGTTGACTCGAAGAGATGGGTTAGGTAGGAGAGTGGCAGGAAATTTGGCTTATTGTTTTTCCACATGCTATACTTTAATCATTATTTTATTTTAAGTGATGGCCTGTGGGGGAGAGGGTGTGTTAAATCCAGAGTATCTTCCTGGGTTTGAAACTCAAGGAAGAAAACATTTAACATATAAACTCTTGATGTTTTGACCCTTTGGTTTCTTCTCTTCTTGATCTATATTTACCATCTTATAGATAGATAACCCCAGATTTGCATCTCCAGTTATTAGTGTGCTCCTGAACTCCAGACCTAAGTCTCTGTGGGTTGTGTATCGTCACTGTACATCTCAGAAGTGTCTCAAGTTCTGTAATTCTGGAAGTCAGCTTATTATTCTTAACTCATACTTTTCTACTGACAAGCTCCTTCTCCTGTCTTCCTCATCTATGTTTATTTCTTCATTTAGTCGGCAAACATTTACCAAGCACGCGGGTATGTAGGACAAAGACAAATAAGACACAGTCCTTGCCAGAGGATTCTGTGTAATGAGTAAGGTAGACACCTAAATTGGCAATTAAATATTAATATATCATAAAAACTAGCGTGATAGAGTTTGATCTGGGATATTTGGAAATAGCAGTGAGATGTGCCAGGATGCCAGCCTGGCAGAGAGGAGGGTTGAGGGATATCAGGCAGTGCTGCTCAGAGGGGCAGGGGCCTGAGCTGCTCTTAAAGGAGGGATAGATGGGAGTTCGCCATGGGAAGGTAAGCAGGGAAGAACATTCCAAGTGGAAGGCACTCTCTATGCAAGGCTGGAGGAAAGCAGTGGCAAGCACGTGCAGGGAACAGCGGCAGTTTGGACTGCTGAAGCACAAGTTAACAGTGTGAGGAGTGGGGCAAGAGAAGATCAGAGAGGGGATCACCACCCCGGCTTCCAGCTTCCTCATCTGCGGCCCCTTCTGTCCTGTTGCATACTCTTAAAGCCATCAGTTACCAGTTTCATAAGAGTTGCCTCCCCATTTTCTCCAGGACCTGTTACATTCTTCCCATCCCCTAGAATGTCCACAATTCTTCTATTCTGCCAGAGTCCCCTTCCTCCCTGACCCATCTATCTGTCCCTGCCCATAAACCTCCCAGTTGATCTCAAGCATTTGCCTTTACAGTGTCATTACTAAGGGCTTTCTTCTGGGTACATTTGCCCCTGATGTAAGAATTACTGCTCGGGGCCTTCATCTCACTAGTTATTCACCATTAGGCAAACAGTGAGCACTTTTAGGGCTCCATTCAAATGTTCTTCCCTTTTCCCATCTTTTCCACCTATTCAAATTCTCCTTCTCCTAAAGGGTACTGTCTACTTTCTTTTCTCTGCAATAAGACAGTACTTTGCATGTGTTTTATTTTTTCCTATACAGTGATATATAGCATATGCCCTGAGAGTCAGATTGACATGAGTTCAGAGGTTATCTGTGTCATTTCTTAGTGGTGTCACTCTGTGCAAGTGATTTCAACTAATTTTGATCTTTTCTTTCTTTATTTGTGCTAAACTATGTTGGCATACTGTGTAACATTAGCTCTGGGTGGTAGAATTAGGCTTGCAGTTCTTTTTTTTTTTATTTGAGACAAGGTCTCACTCTGTTGCCCAGGCTAGAGTGCAGTGGCATCATAGCTCACTATAGCCTCAAACTCTCGGGCTCAACCGATCTTCCTCATAGTTCTTTTAACCCAGAGTATTGATAGCTAGAGAATTTTAATTGGTTATAAAACTACAGTGGTTGGCCAGGCCTTATAGAAATTCTAGCATAATGATTAAAAAGCTCTGGAGCCTGACAACTTGGGTTCTGATACTGTCTCTGCTACTTCCTTGGCTGTGTGTTCTTAGAAAAGTTACTCAACTTCTCTGAGCCTGTTTACTCATCTTTATTATGAAAATGATGATAACTATTATTACCCATAGAATTTTAATGGGAATTAAGTACGTTAAAGTTTATGAAACATTTGTCTTGTGTAAGATATACAGCAATAGCTAACATTTATTGAATATGTACACTTATTATGATAGCCACCTGGCCCGAATGATGTGTGGATTGATGCCTATTTGCAAACCTGATTTTCTTAACTTTTTCCTTTGGAATCCTTAAAGATATTTCGTTCTGTGGCACCTAACTAGCCCTACCACAACCTTGTCTTCAAGTTTTTGGAAACTGACTTTTCTTTGTTTCCCAGACAGTTCCTAGAAGTGATGGCGAGTTCTGTGACTGGTTGTCTTCACCACATCTCTTCTGAACACCTGTTGAGTGTGGTGTTTTCGTTTTGCTTGATGAATCATTTTCCCCTGGCCCTTGTTAATCAGGTTCTCCAGAAGGACGTCATAAGTGAGCTGCTGGCATCAGGTAGGATGGCAGTGCATAATGGTGACCGAAATAAGGCACGACCACTAGCTGCCTTGTGATTCCGGATGGGGCTTAGTTGGGGCAGTGTTGGCTAAAATTTGCAGAATAGATATTGCTTAGGAAAGGACTGATAATGGTGAAGTCAAAGGTCGTTGATCAGAGGTGTTTGCATTTCCTAATCCTTACACGTCACATTTGAAGTCATCTAAGTTAACTTTTGCAGCTGTAAACACTTCTCACTCATGGCCTGTAATGGGGAATGCTGGTTAGAGCAAGAAAACAAGTAGCTACCAAATTAGCTACCAAATTAGTGTTTATTTAGTCGTAGAACCAAATTAACTGTTGACTTGTAGTCTTTTGTATTAAACAAGGAAAAGCAACATTCAGATAGATGTACAGAATTTGATGCTGTATCTGACAATGGCGTAGTTCAAATTCTTTTAAAATCATTGTTATAAAATCCCAAAATTGAGTTGTGAAGAATCAATACTGTGTGCTTATTTTTCAGGCAGTATTATCATGAGGAAACAGCCTTGGACCCAGAAAACCTGAATTCTAGTCCCAACTTTGCCTTTAATTAACATTCCTGGGTATATCCTCTTCTATAAATTGAGGAGTTTAGACTAAATGAACTCTAGAGATACTTTAAACCTTAAAACATTATCAAGTACAGGGCTTTGATCTTAGACCCTGGAAACTAGGGAGACATAGACATTCCTTTTGGTAAGAAAGAGAGAAATATAGGTGCATTAATACAGTTTTTAAAATGTGGCATTAATGTTTTTACTAAATGATATATTTTCTTCCCTTTTTGTTTTATTTTTTAGATGACAAGGAGAGGAATGTTCACAAGCTTCACATTTTGAATACTTGTCTAAAACTTGATGATACTTTTTCTTACAAGGCCATAGACTTATTACTGCCACAAATGCCATCGGCACCATTAGATCCAAACACAAAGGTTGCAGAGGTGCTAAGTAGCCTTCTGGGAGGTGAAGAATACTTCTCAAAAAATGTACAGTTGCCGCATAATTATCATATTGGTATGGGACTTTATTTATTTTCCTTTTTTTCTGACAAAAGATTAGAAGTTTGCGGCAGCAGTTTAGTGTAGTATAGCAGTGCCTCTGGAGTTAGATTGCTTGGGTCTGGAATCTTGTCCTATGACTTACTACTGCTGTAACTTTAGGCATTTACCAGCCTCACTTTCTTTATCTGTAAAATGATGATAATAAAAATACCCACCTTATAAAGTTCTTGTAACCAATAAATGAAATTATGCATGTAAAGTTCTTAGACTAACATGTGGCACACAGTAAGCTCTCAATATATTTTTAGCTACTTCTGTTATCAGTAGTGGTTTTAGACATTTTGGCACAGAAAATAACTTTGAGCAATGTTTGAAAAATTAATATTAATTTTTTTCTTCCAGATTTTGAAATTAGAATGGATACTAACAGGAGTCAAGTGCTTCCATTTTCTGACATGGGTGTAACTTCTGCTACGAATATTCAAAGGTTGCTTACATATACTCATTTGCTGGGCTTTTCAAATTTAAATCTTAATTCTAAAAGACTTCATATTAAATAGTAATAATAATAAGACCTTATGTTTGTACAGAGCTTGCAGTGTACTAAGACTTCTTATCCATAAATCTGTCTACTCCTTAGGTGTAAATGTGGGCCTTAAGGTTGAATATAATCATATTCAGTCATGGAGTTGGGCCATTTAATGAAAGAGACATTTTTTAAAAATTAGGTTTTGAAACTAAACAGTTCAATAGCATAGAATTGACATAACTGAAACTATCAATGCAGTGTAAAGTTTTGACAAGATTATATAATAGTGATCGTAAAGACTTGAGGCTTTTACAAAAATCAAATACCCAGTAAATATTTTGTTCTACCACCAAGACTTTTCCAGGGATAGAGAAACCTTAGCTTTTTAATTAAGCTGTATCTGTATGGATCAGAGCACACTGAAGCTAATGCAAAGTTGTTTTCTTGGTCATACATTACAAAAATGGTGTCTCTGGGAGAAATACGATGATGCCACACCATGAGAGAATGCCCTGCCTCTCTAGTCGATGCCTAAGATCATGTAATCACCACACAGACACCTGCATTTGGTCAGCCTTTGTGGAAAGGCTCTGTGAGGCACACAGAGATGGGTGACACATGGATCCTGACCCCAAGGAACTTGTGTCTCCTGTTACTCTATTGGACACTAACATAAATGTGATAAAGAGAGATACAGATTCAAACTGTAGGGATTCAAACTCTTATTTGCCCATCCCTCTCCATTCACATATAGTTCTGTCACTTTTACCCCTTTCTGAATCCATTGAGCTGATTCCATGGCCCTCTTTTTCAACTGCTGTCTTTCCTATCCATGTTACCCATCACCATTCAAAAAAGGCTTTTTCTCTGACCCCATTCAATGATCATTTTTCTTTTCTGGGTACTCCATTGTTCTGGCATAATAAAATAACATAATAGTTATCAGCATAAAGTACTAAGAAGTGAAGAGTCTGAGCTTGCCTTTAAAAATATAAAATTTCTCTTGTTTTATAATAGCCAAAGTATAGGAGAAGACAGAATATAAATGTCTTTTTTTTTTTTTTCTCAATGAACTTAATTATTTCCAAAGTGTCAGGAACAATGAAGAAGCAAATTACACCTTCCACATTTTTGTTACATTTATACACATTTTATCTTTGTAACAGTCTTGCCTTTTTCTTAGGGTTTTCTTCTTTGTGTTTGATCTACCAGTTCTGGTTTCTAAATGCTCCTCTCTCTGGGAGACAATATATATAAAAAGAGCTCTCACCATTTGGTGTTATCTACACCAGTACTTCTCCTGGTAGTGTGAATAATAGTACTCAGATCAGAAATCAGCACCACACAGGCAACCCTTAAAGTGTGTGCTTTCATATCTGAAAATTTTCCTCATTAAAAATGTAGCCATCCCTTAAATATGAGAGAGAACTTTGTGCCAAGCATTTTATTATGTGCTTTTGGTTTATAAGGTGGCTTTACATACTCACATGTCTGCAGAGGCCAAGTCATAGGAGTGGAGGGCTAGCTGTTGGGAATGGTGAGGACTGTTGTCAGTAGAGAGCTCAACTTTGAAATCTCCAAAGAGTAGGAATGCAACAAGATGTAAATGGTAATGTCAGTAACTGTTCTTGTTCTGTTTATTTTTGTTCTCAGAGTAGCTGTGCTGTGTGTTCCTAGATCTGTTTATTGTTTGGGCTCAAACCACCCGAGAGGACTCTTTGCTATGAAAATGCGGCATTTGAATGTAATGGGTTTTCATGTGATCTTGGTAAGAAAAAAATGCAAATGAAATATTCTTCAATTACTGATGCACATTCTAACAGCTGCCAGGAATCTTGTGGTTGAAGTTGGCTACTGGGACTCTAGAGGAATTGCCAGCATTATTAGAATAAGTGTTTTAGTTATTGTTTTCTTTGAGAAAGAACATTTCTGGTACATGATTTGGCTTCTGCTTAGCTGATTACTGTCATTTACCAGGGGTTTTATAAATATTATTTTGGTCAGCTTTAGTCCTTGTTTACTAAGAGGAAGAATATAAATAATATTTTTTTAATTTAATTTAAGACACACAAAACCATATTCAGTTTCCAGGTTATCTTGAACAAGAGAAGCAAAGATGTTAAAGCTTTGTTTTCCTGGCCAGTGTGAGGCTGTTAGAGGATGTTTATCACCAGAGGGAGCTGAACAGTCGGGAGAGGATGGGCCTTCCCTCTCGTGCTGCGCCTTCGATTCTCTGCACCACAGCTTTTCTTGAACAGCCTCTTCAGATGTCTCTGTGTATCTAGAACCTTACAAATAAATGTGTATGTGTGTTAATGTTGGAATCTATCTAAATGCCACTCATTTGGTCCTGCAGATAATGTGAAGTGTAAGCATTCCAATGTTCCATTATGGTACTTTAGTATCCAGAAATGGATTACGCATGGGTTACTGATATTCAGTTGGCCCCTTTCTCTTAGTGGGGTGCTATTTAAGACTTTGTTTTTCACATTGGTGATTATATATATTCTAAGGAACATTTTCTCAAGAAAGTAATTTTTGCAACATTTAGACGACCTTAAAATTTTTCATACTTTTCACTGTTAGAGCTTTCTTCGACCCTGGTACATAGTCTTATTTGGCCTTTAAAATATGAGTAATTATAAGGTAACATTTGTTTTTAACAGGCAGTTGACTTTATGTTACTCTAGTGAGTCTGGATCTCTAAACTAGCTTTTTTTTTTATGTATCATTGTCTCACAACTATTTTCCTTTCTTTGGTAAGGTCAATAACTGGGAGATGGAGCAACTAGAGATGGAGGATGCAGTCACATATTTGAAGAGTAAAATCTATTCACTTGAAGACCTTCCTGCTGGTGATATAAATTTGCAAAGTACATATTAAAGTAGAAATCAATCTTTTCACATTAGGAGACATGTATTTGTAAAAATAATTTCAATAAAGGCTATAATTAATTCAGTTGTCAATGCAAGTAACCTGGCTGCTCACTATGACAAAAAATGTTACTTCAGTTCACTGTTAAAATTCATTTTTAGAATGGAAGAAGTGTTTTTACTGGCATTTTAGACTATGCTGAGAAAATTCCAGAAGGGACATTTTTCCAACCACACCTATTCCCTCTAGTGTCCATATATTTTAGAAATTCACGAGCTGTAGATTTCACTTCTTCTCATTAACTTTAAGGCATTAAAAACTTGTTTCTTAATTGTGATGGGTCACAGGCAAGTTGATGTGGGCAGTCGTTGTGTTTGGAATCTGAATATTTATACTTCTGCCATAGCTGCCCTAAGGCTTGGGGTTATACCTTTAAATCATTTTCAAGCATTGACCAGATAGCAACTGGAGCATGTTCTGAAATTGTCAAGTGTGTAGGAATTAGTGAGGTAGCATGTTAAAAATGGGTGAGAATAACACTGGCATTTGTAACAAGCACGCCCCTGGTAGTGGTGTTTTATGGGCCATAAGAGAAACAGTGAGATAATACATGGATGGCAAGGAGTTCAAATTTATTAACACTGATAGGCTGTGAGTTGCCGACATGATAACTTGCTGTTGTTGAGGTCATTCCTTTCTTCTACTTTCTTCCCCTTTTTTCCTCCCACCATTTCATGAAATTTTAAAAATTAAATATATAGCTGAGCTGTGTTGTAAATCAGACCAGAGGACTGTTTTTTCAGGTATATTTGTTCATTCTTTGTTCAAATATTTGTCCAGGTTCAAACATTTTGTTCAATATACCTGTCTACCTAGTATTTGACTCACTGGGGATCCAGTGATGAATAGGCCTGAACTCTTGTGGCAGTTTCCACATGGGTCCCATGCCAGTTAGTACTGTTCTACCCCTAGGTACACAGATGTGCAATTACTAAACATCTTACTACGTGCCAGATACTGCTAATTATGCATAGGTATTCTCTCTTTTCATTATCTTAACAACCCTTTGAGCTGTAGTTCCTATTATGTTTCTCTCTGAGCCTTCATTTCCTCATCTCTAAGATGAGGATAAGTTATTTGCCCAAAGCTGCCCTGAGGAGGTCTGGGCTAGAGTTAGAATATGAGTTGGCATAGGCTTATATGACAAGTAGTTGAGGATTCCCAGGTTGGCAAGACAAAAACTGCAAAAATATGGCAAGAGTTCTCAGGTTTTATCAACCTATCCAGCCTGCATTTAGAAAAGGTTAGAGGTGAAAGGAAATTTAGTGATCATTTAATACATCTTCCTCATTTTAAGGATGAGGAAGTTAAGGCCAAAAGAATTTTAATTTTCTGAAGTCTCAGCCATGCCATTGGTTCCCATATCATGTCATCATCATTTCATCCTCTACTGCTCTTCAGCTGTGTCCCAGCAGATCTGGCTTCTTGCTCCAGACTAGATATCATCTAGTTTTGTTCACTTGGCCAAGTGATTTAACCTTTATAAGCTTCAGAACAAGATGAAAATATTGTTATTAAAGAAACTAAAGTTTGTTCTTTAAATGCTAAATGTGTATCAATTTCTTCTGGTGGCTAATTATGACTCATATTCAAAGAACTGGACAAATTCATGAATACTTACACCTAGCTTTGGGGGCAGTAATTGTCTTGAGTTTGTACCAGCTGGCATGGTGGTAAAAAGGCACTCCTCTTTCCTAGCAGGACTGAGGTTGCCGTTCTCCATTGCTTTGTGGCGATGAAGAAAAAAAGACAAAGAGCGATCAAATTTCAGTCTACTAGTAAAGATGTGCACATTCAAGCAAATGAGATATTTTTACCCTTCAGATTAGCAGTTTTTTTTTTTTTCTTCGAGAATTACAGTGCTGACTAAGGTGTAAAGAAGCAAGCACTTGTATATGCTACTGGTAGAATGTAAATGAATACCTTTCTGGAATATGCTTTGTGGTTTTTTTTGTCCTGTAACTTAAGAAATAGCTTTATTAAAGTATAATTGACATACAATAAACTGCATACATTTAAAGCACACAATTTGGTAAGTTTTGACTTATATATACACACACCCCTATGAAGCCATTGCCATTAGAAAAGGTTGCCATTATCAAGATAATGAACATATCCACCACCTCTAAAAGGTTCCTCTGTCTTTGCCTTTCCCTCTGTCCCCTGGAAACCATGGATCTATGGCAGCAGTCCCCAACATTTTTGGCACCAGAACCCATTTCATGGAAGACAATTTTTCCACAGACCAGGGTGGGAGGGGAATGGTTTTGGGATGATTCAAGCACATTACATTTGTTGTGCAGTCAAACTTCTCTGCTAATGATGATCTGTATTTGCAGCTGCTCCCCAGCACTAGCATCACCACCTCAGCTCCACCTCAGATCAGCGGGCATTAGATTCTCATAAGGAACATGCAGCCTAGATCCCTGCATGTGCAGTTTACAGTAGGGTTCATGCTCCTATGAGCATATCTAATGCTACTGCTGATCTGACAGGAGGTGGAGCTTATGTGGTGATGCGAGTGATGGGAACAGCTGTAAATATATATGAAGCTTCGCTGGCTTGCCACCGCTCACCTCCTGCTGTGCAGCCTGGTTCATAACAGGCCACAGACTGTACTGGTCTGTGGCCCAGGGGTTGGGAACTGCAGATCTATGGCCTACATAGGACATGATGGTGTCTACAGCACTAGCTGCAGAGCATTTGGAGTGTCTATTTGGAGCTTGGCAGGAAAAAATATTTATATAACATAAGAAATTAGTAAAACCCAAAGTATTAGGAAGATATTAAATGTTAATTTTAGCCAGGCATAGTGGTAGTGTGCACCTATAGTCCTAGCTACTTGGGAAGCTGACGCAGGAGGATTCCTTGAGCCTAGAAATTGGAGACCAGCCTCAGTGATACAGCAAGACTCCATCTAAAAAAAAAGTAGTTAATTTTATGTGAAAATTCAAAATTATCATTTTTTCCCAGAATCCTTAATGGGAAGCTTACTCTTACTTTCTAGACATAACTATTAAATATCAAATTGTATGCTTGAATGGCCATTCTTAAGACATTTTAATAAATTCTTCAAATTCTTGGTAGTTACCATTGACAAGAAAGTTTGTTGATAACAAATAGCCGATGAAACAATTTAAAACTATTTTTAAAAAAACATTCAAAAATTGAAAGTTACATGTATAGCCTAACTGCTCTTCTTTTTCTATCATTGCCAAAATGTGATATTGCTAGTTTTTGGTGATAACACAAATGGATCTCAAGTGTGTAATAGAATATTTTCATACCAAGTATTTCTAAATATTGATGAAGTTCCAATTTATAGATTGTGTTTGTGTCGTTTGTCACCCTGCGACCAGCTTGGGCATCTCTAAACAAATAGAAGTATTTGGGGCATATACCTGGAGCTGTACCTGTGAGGAGCTGGCATTCCCCAAACCCCAACTGACTGACTTTCCCATGAAATTATTCAGCAGCTAGAGGGTACCTTGTCCATGATGGTCAGTGGCCCACTCGGCAGCAGACTTCTTGTGTAGCTTTCTGGGTGACTGGACGTGATCTTGGCTTCAACAGAACACATTCCAGCAGAGCAGTGAGTGCCAGAGGCCTGTCATGTTCTTTATTCATGGGGACTGAGAGGAAGAACATCAGACCCCCCTGTTTGGGCTACCTTCTAGGTGAGGAGCTTACTGGCCAAGAGGGCTGTGACTCCTCAGAAGGCTGAGGAGTTAGATATGTCTTCACTCACTTGTTACCTATTTGTGCATATGGGTATGCTGTGGCTCACTGGTGTGCCCAGGAAAAGCTGAAATCTCCATTTCCCAGGGTCCGTTATAGCTTGAAGTCCACAAGTGACTTAGCTTCCTCCATGTAGATGTGCCTTGAAATAGGAAAGGCCAAATGATACAGAGACCATATTTCTGCCAACATAGCCACAGAGCATTTGGTTTTTCTGGAATGTCAATAACAGAGATCCCAGGGTGTGGTGTGGCAGGATATGGAGCCGTTGTGCTGGTGGGGTTGGCTAAGGTAATGGGGCTCTGGAACCAGCAATTGGGCAGCATCTTCGTGATTTCCCAGCTCCCAGGCTCTTCTGGACAGCCAGCTCTGTCTTGGTGCTCTAAGAGTCCTACCAGGAAGTCAGACTAAAGGCTGCCTGTTCCTTCAGCCCTTGCATTCATCTTGTAAGCAGAAGGAGGCATCTGCGAATGGCCAGAATTTAACACCCAAGCACATTGTGTCTAAACTAGATAGTGGTTCCTGTTATCAGCAACTGAATTCTGATTGATAAAGATACTATAATATGTGCATATACATGTTGTAGAGTCAAAAAAATAGTATACCTTTCTTTAAAATTTTCTGAATTTTGTTTTAAAGAATTTCAAGCAGGGTTAGAGACACACATAATGTTACTAAGACGCACTAGGAACACCACGTACCATGAACCGCCAGCTCCTTTTACATGTAGCCTCACCCTCAGCAGGTTTCTCCAGGCAGCAGTGCAGCGCCCAGACAGATGAAAGGGAGAAACCCAACCCACCTGCCTTTATTTTCTACTGTTCTTGCACCCGATTTTGCCTATACTTAGCCACGCTTTCACTGCAACTCTGCCAGTTTCATCTCAGGCAATTTCTTTACGCATCATCCTGAAGAGGGAAAGGACGTTAACATCAAACTCTTGCCCAATTGTCTCAGGAAATCCATTTCTTGTTTTTGCTAAAAAAATATGCAAAACAGAAGGAAGATAGGAAATGTATTAAATATATACATAACACTTTCATCTTGTCATAACTTTTAAGTTAAATTAGACAAAACGCCAATGCTATGGTATTTGGGAACCTTTGAAGTGCTTGGATGTTGCTTGTGCTCATCAGAAAATACTCCTATCTTACTAAATGCTAGTTTTGAAGAAAACCTAGTCTTGGAGAAAATCAACATAAAGATAAATGAAATCAAGGGGCGTAGCCGTCTTCACCAGCTTGAGGTTCAAATGAAGTTCCACCTGCTGCTGTTGTCAGCTGTGGGAAGGGAGTGGGGGTGGGGTTCCTGTGCAGTCCAATCCACAGGCCCTGCTGTGGATGTACCTGCTCTTTACCCAGCTGCCCCAGGGCAGACCTCTGCACAGCCCACAGTGCCTTAAGAGAGATTGATACCACCTGCTCAGTGTTTCCCTGAGG